TTTTTTTTTGTGTGTGTGGCGCTACAGCCCCAATTTGGGCCTAGGCATACCTCCATGAAACTTTCCGTTTCATTTCGGTTTACTAGATCTTGCACATTCGGTAGGACTCCTTGGGCGAGTGATCAGCTCGTCGCAAGACCTCTACCTGTAGACAAACGCAGAAAAACGCACAGAAACATCCATGCCCTTAGTGGGATTCGAACCCACGATCCCGGCTTCCGAGCGAGCGAAGACAGTGCATGCCTTAGACCGCTCAGCTACCGTGACCGGCAGGAGTTGCTGTTACGTTTGCTAAACATCATCTTATTTCGAATAATTTCGTGAGCTAGTTTATGATGCTGTCAATAACAAGACTTACAGAGTTGAACGGGAAATGAAGAATCGAAAGGATTCGGAAGGAACTTGTCAAGGTATAATCGCAGTACCAGCCCGGCATTTGCTTGGAGGAACTCAGGAAAACCAAGAAAATTCTCAGTCAAATGTCCCGGCCAAGAGTGGGACCAAGAACCTCCCGAATGCCTGTCCAAAGCTTCATTGCTATGTCAGCCCGTTCTGCATCTGTTATGAAAATAAAATCTATAAACATTAACATAAATAAACCACAAACCATAGTAAAAAGGCGAGTTCGATATAATACAAACAAAAAGGCATTACTGATTTGAAATTCATACCATTTAATTTACAATTCTGATAATCGACAGAAGGCACTTCTGTGCTGTTTAGACTTGCCATTGGGTGGAATGAGCGGACGTAGGATACGATAGTGTAGGAAGGCCACAAAATCTTACCCTGACTCCGGGCCTCAAAAACGTCATTACCCTAGTTTTTGTCTCTTGTAACTCAATGACATTATAAGAATTCTTAGAAAAATTTAAGGTTTTTGTTACAGTAGATTTTTAATGACTTGTGTGGAAATAACTATGAAGACATATTCATCAGTTCCTTTCAGCCTATCATTTCAGTAGGGGCACCTTGATGCCCCACCTCTGAAGAATATTTTTAGAAGCAAAACTGCTTCCTCTTCTATTCTGGATTCCTGGATGGTTACCTACACGGATAAGCAGAAACTACCTTGCTATTAGTGTAGCCTATACCATGATTTCAGTGCCGGTACCTAAGCTGGGTGTGTTTCTGTTTCTAATGAACTCTACAAGAACACTGGCATCTTCAACAAAGGTATTATTTCCTTTGCTAGAATTATTTTCCCTTTAATCCACTTTGATCCATTAACTAAGAACAAATTTTAATTTTTCTCCAGACCCTTTATTTACCCTTTTTGTAAACTTTGTCCATATTTTTCGTAGTAGCCGCATTTTTGCCGGTAACAGTCACCGTGCGGTCTAAGATATCAAATGTTTTAGCTCGTTCGGACGCTGGGATCGTGGGTTCCAATCCCACTCAAGGCATGGATGTTTGGTGTGTGTATGCGTTTATTCTGTGTCTGTGTTGTCCTGTGTTTAGGTAGCGGCCTTGCGACGGGCTGATCACCCGTCCAAGGAGTCCTACCGTCTGTGAAAAATGATTACGGAACTGAATAGCAGGCCAGGACCCTGAATGGGCTGAAAGAGCCATTGTAAAAAAACTAATCGCATTTGTAGCCCTCAGGCACTTTAAATCTGCTGCTGCGAAGCGATTGGCCCTTTAACACCTAAATGAAGCCGTATTCTTTTAATGTTAAAAAAAAATAAAACTAATTATAAAACCACGAATTACGAAGTGCATGACAGTTATTCATTATTCATAATAAGGAGCATCATAATTCGTATTCCTCGTCATATATTAGGATGGCAACTCAGGTGGGATGATTTGGAGAAAACATATAGCACGGATCGACGAAATGAGAAATGCATACACAATTTTGGTCGGAAACCTGAAAACCTAGACGTAGACGGAAGAATCATATTATTAAGCCGGGTCAAAATAAATATAGTGGGAAATTACGGACTAGTTTCATTTCGCTCAGGAGAAGGACCACTCTTGGCTTAACGTGAAAACGTTAAGAACCTTCGGATTCAATAAAATACGAATAATTTTGTGGGCAGCTACTTCTGGATTCGCAAGTAATGTCTCTGCTGCAGATAATCAGAGTTCAAGGCTTTTCATCTTCACTGACACAATTTATTATTCTGAAGCGCGCTGCAAGAAACGTACATTCTACTTTCCAGTGCATATTTTAGAGTACCACTACTACTGTATTTGAAAAGTCAGCAGTCTTACGCTCCCAGATATTCCGTGTGCAACGTTGCATAGGTCCAGACCAGTGGTACAAAAACTCCATTGCTTCGCGAACCCTTCTTTAAATAAAAAAATGCAGGAAAAATTGTTTACTCCTACGTCTGATTTCCTTTAAATGCTTCATTTAATACGGCTTGACTGGCAGTATCTAACTCAGGAACCAATTCTGTTCACAATTTCCGTTAATACAAATTCCAGCTGTCAAGTATAATATCAATATTTCATACCGCCGCCATATTTGTAATTACCATACACAATAGTATTATATACAGAATTTATAGGCGCGTTATTGCCGTCGAATAATATAGTTTTGCGCAGACGCATTGCGTTTTATTTTATAATTCTACAGAAAAGCTGCCTAACGCTGAAAAATTCCATGTTTTTCGAAAATTACAGAACTTCACGACCTGTTATCACGTGGCACTAATGTCCCTCAAGTATCGGACGGACACCATGCACTATGAAACTTAAGGGGACAAAAGTGCACTTGCAAGAGGATACTAACCTACCTACCAACCAACCAACCAACCAGCTTCATGGAAAACGATCTTTCTTCAGAAGCTCATAGTCTCTCAGCTGGTCAAGAAATTCTGGTCATATATGTGACCAGAAGGTTCGTTGCCTCTTTCTCAGGAACTCATCACTGGGCCTTATTCCGAGCCAGAAGAATCCAGTCCACATCCTCAGATCATATTATTGGAGATACATTTTAATATTATATTTCCATCCATGCCTAGGCACGTAAGTCATCTCTTCCCTTCAGACCCATAACGTGATGCAATCCCCGCTAATCTCATCTTCCTCGATATGAGTACTCCGGCTTTAAGGGCTGGAACACACACAGCGACATCGTCCTTACGACGTCCGTACGGTTCATGTCACATCAAGTAGTAGAATATAAATTGTAGTCTTAGCTTTCATACGTGACGACATGCGACATCTACCGTACGACAGTCGGAGAGCAAAGAAATGTATTTGGTCGCTCTAGTGTGAAAAGGAGATCGTACGGCAAAAAATTGTACATTTTTCCGTACGACCAATGTCGCTGTGTGTGTTCCAGCCCTAGGTTTTAGCCGTATCGTGTGTCAGAATACTCGTAACTACGGAGTCTTATGGTATTGTATATAACTTCGTTAAACAAACAGTGTTTTAGAAGAAAGAAGACGCCATGTGTCCCCATTTTCAGCGTTAAATGGCTGTGAATAATGAATAGGACAGGATGTGGAAGGAAGAGGTCTTGAAATATTTTAAAATCCCAGAATTTGCTTGGCGGTTAGTAAATAATACAAGATGAAACCTACTTCTAATGCTCGCAGCTCGTCTTCTAAAAAAAATATATATTTTTCGGAAGGGCTTTTCCAATTGCAATATAAAATTAAATTGCAGCTCTGACGTTCGTGTTAAAATAGTCATATAGATATTTATTCGCGGAAGACCTAACAATCCCCAACAGGTTTCAGTTAACAAATAATGGGAATTAATCGTCCTGATCCAAGGCAAACAGGACACTTGTCATATCACTAAAGCATTAGTGTCGCTACAATAATTTGTTCATTCAGCTATTAAAATTCCCAACCTTTTAATGTTGCATTGATAAAGATATCAGACCGAAACTCCCTTACGTCTGAACTTTCAAGGTCGTACATAAAGAACGGATCTTTATTAACTTGCACCTTTTAATACTTAATTAAGATCGTACTAGATCTACATGACATGTAATACTGTAGTTTGTAAGTTCCATTTACCCCTTGCATCGAAAAATGTAACGGTGAATTAAGCTAAATTACGTAACATAACTTCAGCCATCATTTTACGTCATGCTTATGTTGCTAGCCAATATTAGTTCACTAAATTTGTCGTCTAATGGGTCAAATTATTTTCGCATAGGCCTACAGCACTGTAGTTTGTGCACTATATTCCTTAAAGCCTATTTACACAACTGTTACTTAAAAAAGACTTATTTTATACACATTTCGGATAATAAAATGCAGAACACGTCATTTACTTTCATAAGAGTATAATACATTCGCAAAAAAAAAATCTTTTTTTAAAAGGTCCACCTTCAAAACCAATACAGCAACGTATTCTCATACTCTGAATAAAAATACATTTACTGAAATACATAATGCATCATATATATATATATGTAACATTTAGAACAGTTCCGTTGCAATTCACAATGCACTGTGACTACTCAATAGGTTAAAAAACGAGAAGTCTGAAATTCTTACACCAACTTCCGGCGGTTCTTCCCAGCACGGCTCCTGTCTTAGGATTGTACAGGAACACCTTAAAGGATTCCGGTTTAGGAAGCCCAACTTCCGGTGATAATATCCCACCATCCTTATTGTTTTCCACATTCTTCGACATTTCTTATGCTGACTGAAGAGCACTGGAATATGCTAAGATGGCCGATACAGTCACTTTAGGCCAACACTGAAAACAAGCGGCGGAGGGCTGGAGGGAGTCTTGTTTTAAATTTAGATATTTTGTAGGGGAAGGAGGTTTGACAGGAGAGGGACATCGAGTACGCCAAACATCGGAACTCCTTTGCCACCACAACCTTAGCCGTCCAAATTAGCGCGACTGGGGATTACAGATTTTTTCTTACCTCAAAGGCCTACTGCCAAGTCTCACAATGCCAGACGACATTATACTGCAAGATGCAAAATCGCACATATCACACGGCGAAGCAAGGAAGTTATTTACACGTATCTCATTCTGAGGTTAACAATATAATCTTTTGAATAAAGCAAAGTTCTAGAACGAACCGAGATAGTTAAACAATGTAGTCACTATTTCTAGAGATACTCAGGACAACCAGTTCGATTTAAGTAATTTATTTCATATAATACTTCCATCTATGACGGAACTTACTACTGTCTCTTTCCTTCTCATAACATGTTTCAGCCGTACACGGCCATCATCAGGTGTCTCTAATTCGCTAAAACTGTTGCCCTGTATGATATATCAAACTTCTCATAGCACATGTGAATGTGATCTCTTAACTTAGAATAAATGGATTTTAATTAAAAACAATAAAAAACATTTAAAGTTTGATTAAAATTTCAATATTTTGCTTGGGGTCGTCGTCAATTTATCCAAACGACATTGAAAGTGACAGTATGCTCGAACTGCCACCTGACATACACCCTCAGGGCCAACAACCAAATGCATCAACACTGAACCATAATTACCTATAATTTTGACATAATCTTCAGGAACTTATTCATAAGTAGGGTATACATATCGCTATTTGCGGTCCATGAAGTCCATGAAACTCATACCCTAGCAATGTGGGAGCGCCTGTCACTTTCGTTAAGGATTGCACCAACAGATCGGATGAAGACGATGATAAGCGGTGAAAATGATATAGACACAGTGGGAACACACACGCACACTGTTTGTATAAGTGCTCCCTGGAGAGATTTCATCTTGAAATAAGCTCTAGTGGCTGAGTCTGGGGCGGTGCCCACCAATATCACAGCCTCCTGGGGCTCAAAAGTCATGCGTGTCCACGATGTCTCCATGGACTTCAGGCGCCACATGAAAGGACTGGGAGATGAGAAAGTGCCATTGCAGCGGCCAAGGGCGTGGCCGCGTTCAGCTCCTTGTATGAAGGGCAACAATAACATAGCTGCAGTCAGTCAAAGTCCTGAATATAAATATGGACACGGGTCCCAACGGATCCGAATCCAAGAACGACTGTGCTGGTGAGGACCAGCAGCAATTTACTGAACTGAACTAAGTAGTCAGTCATTGCTAGGAGGCTGTGAGTTGCAAGCCAGCTGTCACCCAGCGAGGATATGGGCAAGGAATCAGAGGAATAATCATTGTTGGGAGACGTCACCTAGCAATGCCTGGGAAAGACACAGAAGCCTCAGTTTTTAGAATAGCGATTTATAGAGCGCGTAGATTCGTGAAAATGCTATAGTTACCTGTAGTTACAAGTTATAAGTGTTCAATAAATCAAATTAGCAATCCAAACACCTAGTCTAGACACCAACACATGAGAATATTGTCATGTGTTGGGGTTCTACGTGTGAAGAAAATGTCGGATTCTAGTACAGATGATAGGGTTTATTAGCATTTCGGTCACATCCACACACTCACTCTCTCTCTCTCCCTTAGTCATTAATCTAAGTCGAAGTCGAAGTCACATTGCGACTGACAGTTGATCAGTCAGTAAGTCTTGGTGTCAAGCCCCATCTGGAGCTCTTGACCAGATATTTATTACTGTTTGACAGTTACGGCCTTGTTTCTGTGGGGCGCTCTCTCTGATGAGAGGACTGGTCTGTCTTTTGTACATGCTGCTGGCCCTCGCCAGCGCAGATTCTCTCGGGTCCATGTCCATCAAAGCCAGAACCCATTATTATTAGTCACGAAAACCTCTCATACATGACAATATTTAGTATGTACACATTCTTTTGGAGAAGAGTTTCAGCACATGGGAAAAGACGACTGGCTACCACAGATTGAACATGCTAAAAAGCCTAAGAACGAACGATGGAATGAGATGGCATTATGGATGAAGTATCTGACAAATTCATTTCATTTAATTGGATCTGATAGTCAGTGAGCCTAATAGTGATGAGGAAGAAAGATTTCAAAGAAGGGTGTGAAAGTGATCTTTCTAGAGTGGAAGAAATGCTGTAATATATCACTTACTATAATCTGTTTTTATAATAATAATAAGGAATGTTATCAGTGCTTGCATTTATTTATGTTAGAAAAATTTTATAACAATGTATGTTCATTAGACTACAAAGGGGTTTTTTTTTACTTGAGAGTACAATGATCTCTATGCTTCATCACTCTCCCAAGCATTCACAAATATAGTGGAACCTCGCTTAACGAGCATAATTCGTTCCAGAATCTTACTCGTAATGCGAAACACTCATTAAGCGAAACAATTTTTCCCATATAAATTAATGTAAAATTCGATATGTGTTCCACGGCGAAAAAATACTCAAAAAAATTATGTATAATGTTTATTCAAAGAAATTTATATATACATTGTTAATGAGCGTGAATCATCTTCATCTTTTCTTTTATGCGGAATGAACCAACCTGGAATGCGAATTCGATTTGCAGAAAAAAATCGAAATAATTAGTTTATTATTTATGATACATATCTAATTCTTTTTTACTAGAAAGCTGTCTAGAGACATTTGTTTTTGCCGATGATTCAAAATTTCGCTTTTCAATGATTTTACGTTTCATTTCTAAGATTATTTTTATTCTCTTATAGCCGTCTTTTTGCGGCTTTTTCTTCGGGGACATTTTTGCAAGGGTTATTAAATTTTGCACAAAAAATCACAAATACTATGTCTGAACACAAGTTTGGAAAGATGTGTAATCACAAGCGACACTAAGATGATAGCGGAACGAGTGCTAAACACAGACTGATGTAGCTAGCGCACAATCCGGGACTTCCCCTCTTGTCACTCGTTATGCGAAACGTCGCTCGTTAAGCGAGTCATTCTTTTACAATTTGTTTTGCTCGTTATGAGAGGTGGTCGTTAAGCGAGGTTCCACTGTATAACACAGATCATCTGCTCAGATTCTGTGTATGTAATGTAGTCCTATTATTTTACTGGCATTTTATACTAAATATTTGAAGTTAAAATCAAAAGTCAGCTGGAGGATGATATCATTCATGACATACTAGAGCACATAGCACTTACTGTAGCTGCAAGGCCCAGTATTACTAGTCATAAATGTGGTGAGTCATTCAATAAAATCTGCATTATGTACACAGAAACAGTGTCCAGTTACAAAGAAATATCCATTTCCTTATCCCTATTTTGTTAAATTCAATATAAACAATACTTTCAGCACCTATGTAATTTGATCCTGTAATTACTTCCTCATACACTTATAATACATTACACTGTCTTCTGTCTCAAATGCAATACAGTCTCTAATGTATTACTGAGACTGTGTTTACAGAACTGTAATCTGGCTGACCCGACAAGTAGATTATACAATGTTATGGACCTTTTTATATACCAACATTTCTAAAACCTACTTTATCTTAATAATGTTTTTGCATGCATAAATAAAAAAACAGAAAGATACAAATATATCCAGAGAACAGTAAATTTCATCAGATATACAAAACAGAAAAAAAGAAAATTTCTTTAGTGTACCTGTCTTTTTTAATTCGTTTAGTGGGGGGGGGTGTCCAACTGGGTCCACTCAGCACGGCAGCCACTGATTGGCCTATTGTAGCCTGCCCTGGGTGAGTATGATGATGGAGAATTTGGTGGAATGATTGTCAGGGGAAACCGAAGTACTCAGAGAAAACCTACCCAGCGCCACTTTGTCCACCACAAATCCCACTTGACCAGACCCGGGATCGAACCCGGGCCGCTGTAGTGGGAAGCCAGCAACTAACCGCTTGAGCTATGGCACGGCCGGCGTACCTGGTTTACTGAGAGGAATATGTCTGTTTCCTTTATTACAAATTCTCCAGATATTGGAAGTAATGTTTTGTGTTGGGGAAACCACCCACTTTCCAGTATTTTGTTCTTGTAAGAATTTATCAGGAAAATCCAACTCTGCACAAGCAAATGGAAATGTGAAGAAGTGTGCATACTGCCTGCACTCTTACATCAGGCTGCCCCAGAAACAAATCAAGGAAAGATAACTGTAGAATCAGATTCAAATAATTCTCTAGTGGCATGACAGCCTGATATCAGAATTACTGAAAAAGACTTCACACCCAGAAACCAAAAAAAAAAAAAAAAAAGAAATGTCAACCATATGAGCATTGATTAATGCACAAAATTGTCCTTTACGCTGGTTGCAGCATCCAAAATGTAACACAGAAATGCATTTGTGTTTTTGCTTCATGCTAATACATTAGATCTTTCATGTGTCCTCAGGTAAAAATCTAGGGTGCTGAGATCTGGATATCAGTGCATCCCAACATGCATTGCTGATCATATGACATTACCATGACTTACATTCAAACCATTCTTTATTTCAAATGTCTATAGTTGTGCAGCCACTAACAACTGGACCTAGGCTGACAAGAAATTTCTGACTAGGAATGACCTCAGGCCTAAGTTTCCAATGTTAAGACAGTCATGAATCATCTCTATATAAATATTGGATACAAGACCCTCATAAGGACACCACATAGTCTGGTAGAAGTCTGCCACCTTTTCCAATGGAATGTAATTTCTCCATCATAAGGATCACACAAGCTGCTGTGTGCTTGCTGCTTGTCAGCTTACTCTCTGATCTGGTAGATGGAGGCAGTAAGTTGCCTTGAAACAATGGTAAACTTCTACAAGATTCTGATATGTTGGGATTTTGGACTTTATCCATCGTCCTGGTTTTTAAGATAACAAATAAAAAAACACTACGTTTCCAAAACTGGATCTGTTTCCGTCCTCAGGTGAAGGAAAACACCTATTCAGTTGCGTCCCTTAGAAAGAGCTAGCCTCAATCACTGGACAAACCAATGTCACAAAACATGAAGATTATAAAAACCTGAGACCAGTCTAAGTCCATGAGAGCTAATAAGAAAAATATTCATAACAAATTCTAGCAAACGCTTACAAGCGTGGAACCAGGATAGATAGATCTGTAGAAATTTATGCCACGAAACTAAACTCATAACCAGGTCCATGACCCCACGGCATGGAATAGAAAGAAGAACTAGTAACAAAAACTAATAGTGTTTAACCAGCGTCAACAATGGAGTAAATCACGTCTATCTAATTTAGAACTTAATAGAAATAAATAAAAGCATATATCACATCATACAGATATATCAGATATATACAGATATACAACATATCAGTGTGTTATACACCATCGTCAGAATCCTATAGTAACTACTTCTACAAGATTATGTGGTGTCACAACCCCGAAATACAGTATTCTTCAAAATATGTAGTCCTCTAAAGCCTTAACTTCCTTCTAGCATTTTAGAACAAAAAATCTATGGTTCTCACAGTGGTGAGCAAAAAGTCATGCTTTATAGTGACATGTAATGCCATGTAGTATGGTAGGCACTAATATTTTAGTGGGACCTTCTGCCTTCATCTTCAGGGTAGAAAATGGAAGCTGCAGATTCCTCCAAAATGTTGATACCTAGCTATAAAATTACATGGCCTCACACCTCAGAAGACCGTATCTCAAATTTAAAACACCTCTTAACCAGCAATGAATACAATATCATTAATCAAAGGAAATACTTATCCAGTTTGACTCTGATACAAAGGAAAAAATGAAATTATATTAATTACAGATCTTTAATGTAACATTATCTTACAGAAAGGCATAATTAAAAATTGTGTGTGTGTATCCTGCATATAAGTTCAATCTTCTGTCAAGCTGAAATCTGGCCATACAGGCACTCCTCTTCATAAATTTACAAAAAAGTTACAGCAAATATTTGTTCTAAGGCATTATGGCACCTGATATCTTTCACAGACAACTGATATACTGCAAGGTGTTGAGTAAAGGGAGTAAAGCACTCACTATCACAAAGATTAAAGCTTCAAAGCTGCTTTCCTTACCACATTCATGATTCTGGCTGTGGAAATCAGCTCACTCTTAACATCCTTGGACACTCATGTTTTAATGCAAGAAAACACAAGACATACAGCTTACAGCGTGTCTTGTTGCACATGTGTACCCAGTATTGTTTTGTACACTCTGTCATGCACTATTAAGTCCAAGTTCCTTCACAAGGCAGTACCTCATACTATGTTTCAGAAGTACTTTGAAGAGCTAGTTGCCAACACCTGACCACTACAATTAAGATATCAACAGTTCTCTAATATCTACTAGTATACAGTAAAAAAGTAATTCTGTCACTCACTCAAATCAATTGAAGTTTGAATGTTTAATACCTGCCACTGGAGCTCTACTTCACTCTCCATATATTACTGATGTTCACATTATATCAAATTTGTGAAAATTACACATGTTCATATGCAAAAAATATATGTGTATATTGCATAACATTCCAGTAAAATATATCATTAAAATTATGTACGAAGAGAATGATGTAATTGTGTAACCTGCAAACTTTAACACAAAGAAAATGGAAGGGACATTTGTGGAGGGGAAGGCTGTTAATATAAATAAAACAAATCTGTATATGTCGATTTTCTATGAAAATTGCTAAGCCTGGCAGGTATTAAATAAAATAATAATGTAAATCTAACTAATCATAACAAATTATTTAAAACAGTTTTATAACAATCCAAACATGATGAGTGAATGAAGCACTAAAAATATTAAAAAATAAAAGATAAAAATACTTTTTAAGACTAGGCCTATAAAAATGCCTGACTTCTTTATCAGCATTCCAGTTTCACATAATTATTTAAACATCCTATAATATTCTGGAAATTATTTACTTGCTCTGTTCCCAACCAAAACTCAATTTATAAGGACCTAAACAAGCTTTAAATAATTACACTTCCTGCATTTCAACTACTACAATCTTGTAAAGGAGTATAAAAAACATACAACAAACAGGTAAGATTAGAGTTCATCATCAATGGAATCTTAAAAAAAAAGTACATTCCTATGTCTCATCTTGTAACCCATTTTAATATATAAATGGACAATAAAAATGGAATGAAAACACTGGACTGCAAAACAGATTTGGAAGTAAACTTGCTGTCTTCCCTATACCTGTTGAATATTAAATAAACAAAGGCAGAGAGTACAGCCATAACAAATTGCTGATCCATCTCCCATATCCTACCTCAAACATCAAGGCCTCTTTTGTTCTGGAAATTTCTCAGTTCCTTACAAGCATGTGACCTTATATTAATCAATCATCAACTCAAAGTGAACCATGCCAACCCTTTCTTGGCGATTGTGGATAATATTGCGTGCCCAAGCCTTGCATTCAATGTTGATCAGGATACCAGCTGAAAATAATCAGGTGTTAGGTGTAATGCATAAAGATGAGGCATTTACTGAGTCCTCATGATAACCACACTGTATCTGCCATGACACAGATATAACAAAGCCATTACAGAATAAACACCACAAACATTTCACATAAACATGTTAAAATTGGTAAAGAAAGTATCTGTACGAGACATTATAGTACCATACCAGACATGAGCAAACTGCACGATTCAATGCAAAATTCTTAATTTTTCAATTACGTCACTGATTTTTTTCGCCCCTTGGCACTACAGCCCAAGTGGACCTAGGCCTACCTCCATGAACTTCTCCGTTCACTTCGGTTTTTCTAGATCTTAGACATATGGTAGGACTCCTTGGGAAGGTGATTAGCTTGTCACAAACACAGAAAAACACACACAAACATCCATGCCCTGAGTGGGATTCGAACCCATGATCCCAGCTTCCGAGCGAGCGAAGACAGTGAACGCCTTAGACAATTCAGCTACCGTGACCAGCCCACATCACTGATTAGCCCTTGCAAATTCCAAAGTCTAAATGAAAAGGACCAGTTCCACTGGAAGCAAAAACATTAATCATTGTGGAATTAAGATGACTGTTAAAAAAATCAGTTAGAGTTGGATAAACATAATATTTTAGTACTATGAATCATTATTGATGAATGATTAATTTTGAATGGAGATCAAGTTCAGGCAATGTTTGCTACAATTCAATTCAGAATCTTTTCTCTTCCTGTCTCTGATCTATAAATGTAAAAGCATAGTTTCAGCTTTTGTTCTGTATGGGTGTGAAACTTTTCCTCAGGAAAGAACACAGATTGAGGGCGTTTGAGAACAAGATGGTGAGAATATCTGGAACGAAGAGAGAGGAAGAAAAGGTGGATGGAAAACTGGATCTCGGTGATGTGGGAAGTAGTTCACCACTTGCTAAATTGTGAGTTGATGACATAATACTGCGGTTGCAGTAACTGCTGATTCACAGCTTTATTAGGATACATAAAGACAAGGTACCATAAAGACTGGGGGGGGGGAACAGAAGTAGTTAATGGTCAGACAGTTTGTCAGAGCTGAGATAATGTAATATTCCTAAAAGCCCTCAAAATAATGTCAAAATTGTCTTATTCCTTTCCAATCTTTGTGGAGCAGTATATACTGACAGAAGGGCAGGTATCTGTTATAATGTCCAAAGGGTTTAAGATACTGTGTCACCAACCAGTTATGATGGTGACACTGAATCACTAGGGGCTGCAATAGCCTTTGCCATTAATTCTGATAAATGATCTGAACTGATAAAGCCATGAAAATTGCAATAAAGTGGGTTTAATATCATGACTAGAACATAAAAAACATTTCAGTTCATTAGGCAACAAGCAAGATCTGGTGAATATGTATCTACTGTTTTAATATGTAAATACATTAACATTGTAAATAAGTTAATATGAATGCATTGAATTGTTGATAACCCTTTCATCCCAAGAGGTGGGTAGTTAGTGGCTATTCTACAGATTCAACCTTACCCATAATTCCCGAGAGAGAGAGAGAGAGAGAGAGAGAATTAAGCTTTGCAAAATCAGATAGACTGAAGTGTAATTCCTCTTACCAAGTGCCCTTAGGAGAGGATAGGTGTTAGGAGGTGGTGGCTCTGCTGCTCAGAGTTGGACTGTGGAGAGTTGGACCTTGATAGCATTATGAAGAGGTAAAAACCATCTTCCATTATCCAAAAGTTCCCTTCCGATGGACATTACCATAGTCATAGGTGTGGGATGGACAGATTATCACAGTGTGTCATTCAATGCCAACCATCTACAGTTTGTTAATTTGTTAACTATTTCAAGAAGATTTATAACTTTAAATTACATTCCAATATTCATTGACAGACTTACTTCGTGGCCTCTCAAAGTGAATAGCCATCACAGGACTGAGGTAGCCTTCTGAATTCTTGTAAGGATAGAAGTATCCAGGGAATCCACGCTTAGGGATGTATTTAATTGGTCCAATATTTTCCACATCTGCTGGGCTTTCACCTTCACAACTTACCCAAATTGTGTTCAGCTGAAGCAGTGCAATATTATAGTCATTTAACTCAACAGTAAACCAATCAATCAGTAAGCTTCAAACTATCAACTGACAAGTAATAACTCATATATTGCAAAGACCCCACAGAATTTAGCTTGATGTTTTCTGCCCCCAAAATTAGTTTTCAATATCAGTGGTATGTGCCTACTTTCTGTTCAGTATTCTGTAAACTCCCAGACAGGTTCAGTTCTGCATCTACTTACTACTGAGACATTCCAAGAAATATATGACTGCTATTGAAACTGTTTGTCCTACAGGCATTTAAACTCCTTCAATTTCTATACAACAAGCAAGCATAAAGAGTGTACTCAATAATGTAACAGGTAAAGTTGACCCTGTGTAATGTAAAGGAAAAGTCTTCCCTGTGCTTAATTACTTAAGCACCACACTATCAAAACATATATGACAGTGGAGACATAGCACCATATTTCTCAACCTTGGCACTAGGAGGAAGGTGGTCAGCTTCACACCCTTGCCACTTTACCACCAAGAAAATTGGCCCTGGTTGGGCCAGTGTTGGGCTGTATTGGGCACAGAAAACAAACTGGCTTGCTTTAAGCAGGCCTCCTCCTTCAATGTGCCTTTGGACTATTTACAGAATAACTTTCTCAAATAACTTGTCTGTTGTTGACAACAGACTAATAAGACATTAATTTTGAGGGAATTTTGGGTCCTTACCAGGTTTCAGTAATGTTATGGCTTTTGCTTATTTCCAAGGCTTTGGGAAAATGGGACACTGATTAAATAAATGTGTCAGATGTACCAGTGTCTTCTTGGAAGATGCCCAAGGCATTCATTTTGAATACCAACACGTCCACAAGCTTTTCTCGATTTCAGTAAATTTAGTAATTTGTGTATATCGCAAGGTCTTACTTTTCCCAACAGGGTGTTGTCCACAGATGCAAGCAGAGTTTTGTAAAGCGCAAGTTTAATGTTTGTACTTAAACACCCACTTTTGAATAGAGTATAGGTCCTCACTAACTCGTCCTGCTTATAATATCTAGGCACAGATTGCAGAGAAAACACTGTTCCTCAGTTGCTATAGCATTGCTGCATTCATGTCTGTTGTGATTCCCATGGGACTGCTACTCAGCCACTGCCTACCAACGACTGTTGTTTCCAGAGCCATTACTTAACAGCTGTTGCATAGTTGCTTATTTTGCAGTCGTTGTCTAGCAATGGGTCTACATGCCACAATATAATCAGACAGTGCGAGTTAGGAGTGGTGGTGCACTTGTAAAGAACTCCTAATGATGTTTCTGCAATAAACTGTACAGGTAAGTTACAGATTTCCATTTCTTCACACAGAAGTTGATCTTACATCCCAGGTTAACAGAATATTAGAGAGGCCTGTTTCAAAATATACTTGTGTGCTGGCCACATGTTTTAGTCATAATGTTATAATATATGTATATTTGAGTAGTCCACATCACCCATAGAAACAGTATTTTCTAAACATCAGGCAAGCTACTGTATTATATTGTAACATGTCGGGAATCCAGAAGAGTCACTTCTATGGAAATGCTAGAATAGACCGTTGCATAGGAAACAACAATCGCTCTATTGTAGTTCTAACAGGAGTCTCCACGGTTATAATAGAGGGTTTGTTGCATAGCAGTGACCAAGGTTATAAAACGGGGTTGAATGCAATTGCACAGTTAGTCTGGACCCAACCGCTAAAGAGGACAGTCCAGTATCGCCAAGATAGTGTAAGCAGTAATTGTAACACTGCAAGAGCAGATGATTGTAAGGTGTGTAAGGTGAGTGAGTGGAATAAATTCGCTATATCAAATAACACAGCATAAACTTATTTGTAGCGTGACACACACAACACGCTACAATATATATTCACTGTGCATCAGACCAGACAAGAAAAAAAAAATGGTGAAAAAAAAACAAACACAGCCATAGACTTTCTAAGTATGAATATTTGTGAATCAGACACACACACTTCTGAGAACCTATCTGCTGAACTACATGATGTCACAGCCTAAAGACAGTAATGTTCATACTTACACATTTTGCATGAACTATGGCTTGTAAGTCACAAATAGCTGAGGCACAATAGATCACTGTGTTCGCGGTGCAAGGGCCAAGAAGGCCCACCCCTTATACATTCATTCAAGTCACAAATAACAAAAATGGAATTGTGCAGAACTTTGATGTTCTATCTAACAAATTTAATGTAGAATCACTTGTTCGAAAAAACAAAATAACAATATTAATAACAACAGATATGTAGGACAGGACATCTACACAATAGGAAAATAAACTTTCTGAGTTTGGCTCAGAACTCATTTTTCCAACATGGCCATTGTCATGTTGATGTTTTCCAAATTTATCCCAAAATTAAACTTGTCAAAAAATAAAGAAAGGGCATAACTTCACTTACCAACTGAGGATTAATATTCTTTTGGGCAATAATATGTTCTTTGAGATCTCTTGGCATTTTATGTGGCAAATCATTTGTGTCATTGTAGAACTCTGGTCTCCAATCATAGATCTGAAAAAATGTTTAACAATAAACATTACCCACCTTAAGCCACAGCTTACAGCAATTTGTACAAATTCTTTAAAAAAAAGATAAGACAATGTGGAACTGGAAATTATAGAACTCTTTCCAATTCCTATACCTTAAGTACCAGTAGAAATGTTAAACAACGTAAAGAGCAAAGACACAACACTCGTCACATGGTCATAATTTGATGGTAAATTTGTAAAGCTAGAAGACCAAGGCTTCTGATGATGTGGACTCATACAAGAAAACGGCAATATCAATGGCATTTCAACAGGAGATATAAAAATGAAGTAATTCTGCAAACATGTGTTATATCTGTAAGATTTGAGGCTTTCACAGCGGTGACTATGAAGAAAGCAGTCTTCTGGGATTTAGCACCGTGTATATGTGGTGTTAACCGACATTTCGGAGGAACGTATCACCTCCATCTTCTGGGTAGAAGGAAAAATATAAGAAATCCGCAAGCATTTCCAAAACTTAAAGGTAATACACAGCAAGCTGAGTAAATCAAATATAATAAATGTTCAGATAGCTAACTTGAACTACTTGAATGGTACAATCAATTAATTTTCAGGCTGGTTGCAGCATAACATTACTGCAACTAGTATTAATCTCCGCTACTACGTGAAGGTGCAGCAAAATCTGAGGTCATTTGTCACTCATTAAACCACAGCTTACATCACGCTTACATCACTTTGTGTGAAGTGGGGATGCGTGTTGTATCCTCTGAAATTTGCATTTTATCAGAAAACTGAACATTTCAAAGAACAGCATGTGTGCATTAAGTTCTGCTTCTAACAAGGTGAAACTGTTACTCAAACCAACAAATGTTAACAACTTGCTTTAGGAAAGAAAGAAATGGGCAGAACACAACACTTGACTCTTCAAAAGTGGAGTGACATCAGAGAATTCAGAATATCCATCCATGAGCAAATCAAAGAAGTTGTTTAAGTGAATGACCTTGTTCATGGAAATACACATACCACTATACGCAACTCAGGTAATGACATGGGGATGTCATTTTGATCATGCCAAAGTGTTTTGACACAAGATCTGTACAAGCAACAGACTTCTGCAAAAGGTGTACTTAATTTTTTAATGATAAAAAGCTGAATGTCAATGTGCATCATGACCTTCAAGAAAAATGTCAGAGAGACCCACAATTCACTTTATGACTTTGTCTTTTCCCAAGGTGGCAATGACAAAATTTTATGATATTGTCACAATTCAAGAACACTCACAGGTTGCACCTGGCAAGTTCAAAAACACAGGACTTTTGTAAATGCCCCTGACAATGGCATTACTGCTATATCAAATCATAAGAAAAACTACTTGCAAGGAAGCAGCACAATAAAGGCAAATTCAATCACCACAGAGAAAAATGTACAATCCTAAAATTATATGTTCACATCAGGTAACAAAAAGTAAAGGTATATCATAAAGAGGACTTAATACTGATAACAATGAAGTTAAATAATAATTAACTGATTAAACTTTTGAAACAGATTCCTTCTTGAGGAGCCAAAAGTCAATCAGCTATCATGAAATTTCCCATCCTTCACAAGATCTAAATATTTACTGCTAATGGATTCTGTAACCCATATGGCCGTAAGCATTTTGTAATTAAAGGTTAACACTGCGACACTTACAACAGGACTACATCCATCAATACGAACTTTACGAGATGGGCTTTAAGATTATGCAGACTCAATGTATCACACACTAAGGAAGTTACAGAACAGGATGCTGAAGAGATATATAAATTTGATTTGTTTCAATTTAAAATACATACACTTATATCCTATAATGCACAGTACTCATAAAGTCGAAGGTTTCACAATCACAGCAGCATCCTGGTGTTGTAAAGTTTTTAAAAGTTTCTAGATGTTATTTAAAAAAAACTTTATTGTCAATAGTTAAATATATATATATATAAACCTCATCTCATTCATGGAGCCAAGCCCTTCTCGAGAAGCGGCCTATTGTGCAGCTACTCAAGAGCTTCCCAGCATTTTATGGAACCCAAAGGTTCATTACTGTGTTCACAAGAGCCCTCCACTGGTCCATATCCTCAGCCAGATTGAACCAGTCCATACCATTCCAGCTTTTCTTTCTAAGCCCCATCTTAATACTGAGGTGAGTGGACAATTTTAAAATAGTTACATGGACCTAAGAGGAAATAAGTAACAAAAGCCATAAAAACTTTGCAATTTATGCCCCTGTTAAATATGATAACAGAAATTAAATAGAGGAGATGTATGTGAACTGTAGTATGGACAGGGGGGAGGACAGAAATACACATAGAACTTTCGCTGGAAAACCGAAAGGCAAGCGACCACTTTGCAAGACCTGCATATGGATGGGGAATATTAGTGTAATGGACCTTGAACCAGTTAAGATGTGAGGGTATGTACTGATTCAACTGGATCAAGGCAGGGCTAGCAGACGAGTCTTGTGCACAGTAATTAACATTCTGTTTCCAAAAAAAGTCATGAAATTTCACTAAATTACCGACTATCAGCTTCTCAAGAAGGATACTGCTCCACATTATTAACTACATTCAAAACAATACAAAAATGTTTTTAACATTATATACTTGTACATATCTCATGCAATTATTAGTTTCTAACAAGCAGGAGGAAAGTCAGGTTGTGGTACAACAGATAAAGACAAGTAAAAACAGAACGTTATCTGCTGGTTCTAGTGCCAGTTACCTTATTCAGTTTGATGAAGATGCAAGGTGCAGATTTATGGTAGTTGAAGTGATTTTCTTGAGTACAAGGGAACCAGTCCTTAACATCCACATCACATACTTGATTTTCATTTGGAGGTCTGTCATAATCACAGTTATAGATGTTCTGACCACGACCTGGGGTCAAACCTGGCTTCCTGTACACTGTAAACAATACATAATACTGTCATTTAATAACTTTTCTAAGATGGTCTTTACTTACAAGCAATTCTTTCTAGTTGGCTTATCAGCACAATATACATGCAGTATTATCTAGAAAAGTGAACGAGAGCAGAAGAAACCCTATTTCATTCTTTCAAGTATGCATTACTTCATTACAAACCCCATTTCATGTAGTTAATCCAATGTTTCAAAATATGAATTCCACAGATACAAATGATCACTACGGAGAAAACTTTTATACCACAGAACCAACAGGATATTCCAGTTTGTTAGCCAGATATGATGCAAAACACAATATACTCGTATATGCATAGAATTACTGGGTTTTCAGACTTTGTCTATTGATCGGTATTCTCAAAACTAGAGAACACAATGTTTCAGAAACTGGATCTGTTTCCCTCCTCAGGTGAGGGGGAACAACACCTACTCTGTTGGGTCCCTTTGAAATAGCTTACCTCAGTCACTTGACAACCCATGTCAGAATAACTACAGCTATACCTATACCTGAGACCAGGCCTTGTCGATTGGAGATAACAAGAAAATATGCAATAAAAACTGTGATATAACATGCACAGATCTGAAACTAGGATAGAATGGGAGGTGAAAATTTTAGGACGAACCAAGTCCACGAAAATCAATGCATATAATTAAATGGAGAATTTTTTCAACCATTTTGTGCCTCCCACTAGCGCCATATGTGGTGTAAATACTAAAAACTAGGGACTAAAACCATATAGAAACTCATAAAGAACCTGGTAGGAAGTCGTGACCTGCTGGTTGAGGCGGCCTAAGGCCTGGGACAGAGACCAGGGGGTATACTGATCTCTGTTGAGTTGGTAACCTCATTCCTGATAAGGGGTGTCCAGATGGGAGAAATGCCCAGACTGGATTGGCTGATCTGACTGGTTAAGTACACCATATGGGCAGATTGTTTACATTTCCTATACCTGCTGTCACTTTCAATTTCCAAATTCCTAGTTCCATGCCAGCCTACCTATGACCCACTTCATAGGCATTTTGGGTTACTTTTGATTCCTCTAGAAGACCATCTTTGAGATTCTGCCTATGTTCACGAAGCGGCACGGCTAGAGGTCTGCCTGTTTCGTCAATGTAGCTTCCACCACATTCACAGGGAATGCTACAGATGTACTGTGCTGTCTGTTGCAGATCTCTTTCTGGTCTGGGTTTTATGCATGAACAGTGTGTTTAGTCTTGAAGTTCATCCAAATGTTATATCGATTCCCTGTAAGTCTGAACTTGTTTGGAATATATATATATATATATATATAT